TAAGTGAAGTACCTGAAAAATATAATATTTCACTAAAGCAAATCTCCTTGCTTAGTAAATAACCCATATTATCAATAATAATACTTAGCTGTATCAGATACACATTGGTTTCACAGGACTTTACAAATTGGGGTAAGACTCATTATCCCCATTTTACAGATGAGGAACAGAGGTATAGACAAGTGAGTTGGCCAAGGTCACATAGTTGGTCAGTGGTAGATCCAAGAGTAGAATCTAATTTTCCTGACTCCTAGCCCAGTGTCCTTCCCACTGGAACACAGTGCTTCCCTGCACTTGGCAATTTTACCCAAGACAAATAGATACAATAAAGTTATGTTCATATCTGCAGCATTCCCTTGTACTCCCCTTTATTAGTATTGTTATTTGTATAGCAGTAGCATCTATGAGCCCCAATCATGGAACATGACACCATTATACTATGGGCTGTGCAAACACAGAACAAAATGATGGTCTCTGCCCCCAAAGAACTTACAATCTAAGTATCAGATGAGAAAACAGATGGACATAGGCAGACGGGGGAGCACAAGGAAACAATGAGACCGTGTTGGTCAGCGTGATAGGCAGTTGTCTCGTTACTATAGGGAATACCTTAAATACTGCAAATACTGAGCTTGTCTAAACTACAAATATTGAGTTATGTAAGGCAATTGGCAAGTTTTGAAGAACCACTGCTATGTGAAGGTAAATTTGGCCTAGTGTTTTTACATTATGAGTAAAATCCATATGGGCAAAACTCCCATTGACTTCCATGAGACAGAATTCCACCCTGTATGTATGGGTAAGAATAATGCAATGTTTAAGTAAGCAAACTAAAATCATACCTATGAAAGGAAGAACAGGAATTGTAACCGCATAAGCCAGGAAGACATCTTTAGAAGTTCATCTTTCCTGCTTTGGTCTACAATCATCAGCAATTCCCATATATTCCATTCAAGGTTAGAGAATTTATGGGGGCTTCCCATGCTTTTTCAACCACATTATCTGTAATGGTAAGGATTCTTGTCATCTTGCATATCCTACGGCATGTATGACTGCTTCATTTAAGCTCTGCATCCATTTGCTATTTCCTCATATTCATCAGTTTAGAAAGTCAAGCATTTACTACTTATGCTTGACATAAATACATCTAGGGAATGTGTTTTAAATGATGCTCACTTTCAGCATAAGCCTGCTGTTGGTGGAACCTAATGACATTACGAGAGATCGTGTGCAGTGTTTAGAGGGGGCTTTTCAAAGTACTCTACGGAACTGGGAGTCGTGTGTCTGAAATGTTATTGCTGAACCACAATTATTAACTCTTTTGTGATACAAATTGAAGTTCTGAGCTACTCAAAACACACAGCTGCTATCACATTACTCCTTAGTAAGCTGACTGATCTGTTGAATAAAACCTATGACAATATCACTCACTGGTAGCTTTTGTCATAGCCCCCTCTAGTCATGCCAGTTTTTAAACCTAAATATTCCCTTGTACATAATCAAGTTTCTCTCCTTTCTAGTTCAGTTCTTTACATCCACCACAAACTCTCTCCCCAGCAGGGGTGGCTCTAGGCACCAGCAAAGCAAGCAGGTGCTTGGGGCAGCACAGTTGCAGGGGCGGCAGCAGGCAGGGATCCAGCATGGGAGCTGAGAACCAACAGGAGGCCCTGGGAACTGTAGTTCCTTGGTTAGCTCCCTGCCTATAGAGTCAGCCCTGTAGCAGGGAAAGAACTACATTTCCCAGCATTCCCTGGACCGCTATCAACAGGAAAGGGAGGGGGAGGGAGTGGGGAAGCTGAGACCCCATGCACTTGTTGTGAATGGAGAGCTCACTGCTAGAACAGGGTGGCCCTGGGAATGGGGAACAAGTATGCCCAAGGAGTAGGCTTTGGCCCAGATGTCCCCTTCAGAAGTCATCCCCAGCCTGAATTAGGAATACTGGTGTGACCTCACCTTGCAGCCCTCAAAGAAGGAACTGGGTGGAATGAATGGACAGTGCCCCTCTCTATCTGAAGCCTAGCAAGGGAGGTACGTGGATTCCACTAGAATTTAAAATGAAAAGTAAGGGAGGGGAGGCTGTACTAAAGGACCTGGGCAGCTTTAGATACAGTACCAAGCACGTAGGAGGAGTTCCACTCCTGCGCCATGGAAGCAGAAATTGACTTTTCCTTTCCAGATTTAGCTAATATTCAGAAAGGGAATCTAGCACCTGCCTTCCAGATTTGAACACCTCAAAATTCAGGAGTGCTCAAGCTCAATTTGGGCAGCTGTTACGTCATTTCTTCCAAATCACATATACTGATCCATTGTAACTTGCTGTAGAAAAAGTAGGATAAAATTGAGCAAGAAATGCTTTCCAATGGTTTTTAGGACTGGAATTGCTATTTTCAACAGCCATTGTCCCTTTTTTTTTTTTTAGTTTTATTTGTTTAAAAGGAAGACAGTGATATTGCATTGGCAAATTCCCCATAGAAACAAAGAGTGGAACAAAAGAATAATAAAGGCACCTCAACTTTTCCTCATTTATGTAGGACAGCATTATAATATGCATCCAGATATCCTCCAATCATACAAGCTGAAAATTGTTCCACTTTACTGCAGTTCTGTAACCATATGAGAACCAATCCTGTCTGTGTTCTGTGCACATCCAAAATTCCTGCTGAATGACCCGCCCTGGGAGCGAGTTGCCAGTTACCAGGGTGGAGGGGGGGAGTGCCCATGGCTGGGGCGACAGGGTGTGTGTG